TCTTTTAGGCACCTAACTCATGACTTGGCCATGACAGCTCTCAGGAACTAGTTAAGACGGCACAAAATATAATGGCAGAGTGCTCAGGTCTTCCCTATGCCATTCCAACTGACCTTGTGACGTGTTTTGGGCTGCGCCTCATAAATGCTGAAGTAAGCACAAATGAAAAGCTAATTCAGAATCGATCAAGTTACTAATAAATATATAAAAAGAACTTCATTAATATCAGCTATATGCAGCCAGGGATATAGCTCAGCAGCACAGTGCTTGCCTGGCAAGGGTGAGGTCATGAGTTCAATCCGTGATACAAAAAAAAAAACCTTAAAAAACAAAAAGTATCAGCTATATGCACACTAAAGCAACTTGAAAAGAAATATTTACATATGACACCAAAAACAATACATAAAAGAAAAAAATCTGGGGCAGGGGATTTAGCTCAGTGGCATAAGCGCCAGCCTTGCAAGCTCACAGTCCTGAGTTCGATCCCTGATACCAAAGAAAAAGAAAAAAATCTGTAGACTTTAGCAAAGTTATGAATATTTTCACCTCAACAAACATCATTAAAAAATGAAAAGGCAAAGCAAAATTTGGGAGAAAATATCTTTACATCAGATATCTGTTAAAAAGACCCAGGAAAGTAATGAACTTGTTTGCAGCTTACTAAAAAAACACTTAGGGGCAAGAGTTCAATTCCACCAAGGCCTGTGCTTCCCTTGAGCACAGCTCGAGGTTTGGGCTCCACCTACACAGGTGATAATCATACAACTTAAAGGCAGGACAGGGAGCCGAGCAAGCAGTCCCATGCAGTCCCGCACCCAGGAGGCTGAGGCAGGAGGACTCTGCCGATTCAAGGCCAGTCTGAGCTGCACGCTGAAACCCTGTCTCAAAAAGACAAAAAAAAAAAAAAAAAGGCAGGCTCCAGACTTGAGTGAAAAGAAGTCGTACTAACCGGTTAGCTAGTGAGCATCACCTCACCGGTCACCTAGGAAACACTAACTAACCCTAAGTCAGGTGCTACTTCATTCACACACCCCAGAGGCTGCAGTGACATGAAGGGTGCGAGAGGTCACAGTAACCTGCAGACAATTTTTGTGGGGTCATCTGAAAGGCGCTTTCAGGAAAGCGTTCTCACCTTTTGACCCGGTGATTCCACTTGTAGAGCCCACATTTTATAATAAAATTCCAGTCCTGTTCCACTGCGGCATTTTTAAGGTTTACAGTTCAGTCTTACAGCATTAGAAGCAGATCCTCAAGCCGGGCATGGTAGCCTCTACCTGTGATCCCAGCACTCAGGAGCAGAGGAGGAGAGAGGGTCACCATGAGTTCCAAGCCAGCCCAAACCACACGATGAAAGCCTGCCTCAAAAAAGATCAAAAAAATAAGTGCAATCTAGCCGGGCATGGTGGCTCATGCCTGTAATCCCAGCACTCAGGAGGCAGAGGCAGGAGGATCACTGCGAGTTTGAGACCAGCCTAGGCTACAAAGTGAGCTCAAGGCCAGCCTGAACTGCACAGCAAGACCCTGTTTCAAAAAGACCAAAAAAAAAAAAAAGGTGCATCCTCTTCCCCACATTCAAACCCCTCCTGACCCTAGGGCATCCCATCACAGGTCCAGCCTGTGACCTGAGCGCACAATGGCTTGGCCTAGAGTTAGCGGCTACTGACCTGCAGGGAAGAAGATTGCAGGTGTCGCGGAGACCTTTAAAGGACCCCTGCACACCAGTCGCTGCTTCTTTCCCAAACTGACATGCATTCCTCAATTTAAAAAGCCCAAGCAGAGAATATGCCCATGTCAAAAAAGGGTGGGTGTGTAGCTTACCACAGGCAAGTCAGAAGGTCAGGGTTCAAGCCTCTGTAGCTAAGGAAAGGAACTTCCCAGCCTTGAAAGATTCTGCCGTCTGCCAGGGTAAAGCAACCCATGGCAGCTTTTCCTTAGGGAAACACACTCTTGTTCTTTCACTCAGTGTTTGCACAGCACCTACTATGTGCCGAGCGGTCCTATGTGCAAGGTCCTAGGAATGCAGCAGTGAACAAACCTCACCCTTCACCCTGGGGGAAAGCGCCAATAAACAAAGACCACAACAGGTATTTATGGCAGAGACTGTCAGGCCTGGAGGAAGTCAAGGGAACCTGAACCTTGGTGAGGCATGGAGTTAGCCAGCAGGGAACTACTGTGCCCAGGTCAGGGAACCAGAAGGACAAAGGCGTGGGGTACAAGGGACCTCACAAGCCACGCTTTCTCCGGGAGGAAGCCAGCAGGGAGGCCACTGCAGCGGGCCCAGGGTCAGACCAGGGCCTACAAGCTGGACAGCAGCAGCAAAGGTGGGGAAAGGTGGGGAGTCCTGGGTGTGTTTACAAAGACCTACACGATGATACCTGCTGACAGACAGCAGGTCGGGTGTAAGAGGACAAAGAGGGGCCACAAGCGACTCCAAGGTCAGCAATCTACAAACACAAACACTGAAACCCACGAGCCGGGCTAGACTTACAATTCACATATGGCAGACACCAGCAAACCTGACTGGGGAGATGGAAGAGAGATGGAAGGAAGGGTGAGACACGGGGAGGAAAGGCCAAGCCTGAGGAGGTGTAAGTGAAGGAACAGGTGAGGGTGACAGGGACCTGGCTGCAGGGAGGCTCGTAGCTGGAGGCAGAGCACCATGTGACCTCCTGAGGCGACACACTCACCCTAAACTGTCCCTCATGAGAAGACACTGCCAACTGCAAAAAACTTCCCCAGTCCAAAACCCTCCTGTGACCTTCAGGACTTGGTAGCTTCCTGGGCCCTAACTGCTTCATAAATAGGACAGTTAGGGCTCCCTCACCCTAGAGGGCTCCAAGAGACAGGGAGAATGAGCTGGGAAAATGCAGGGTCCTTCTCGCCACCTCCTTTCTGTGCACTTCCCATGTCCCACTGCCCCCGAGTGCTCCTCACCCCAACCCCACCAGCAACCTAACCACAGTTCACAGATGAGGCGCAAAGAGATGGCCCTCAGGCTACCCCTGCTCCTCCCAGGTCCTGCAGCCAGGAAACACTTGCAAAGCAAGCCAGGCAGTTGGTGGCACTTTTTCTTCCCACTCTCCAAACACCTAGCAGCAACCAAGGTTTCTAAGGAGAAAGGTTCTATCCACTTCCCCGGACAGAGGTGACCCATTCAGACTTCCCAGACTGGCAGTGCCCAAGTCATAACACCCCCAGTTTCCACCTCGGTGTGAAATCTGAAAACTCTATCCTATGGGGAAAACCCCAACTGGAAGCAGATACAGATCTGCTCTGGTCTGGGGCCCTTGCCTCCCTCACAGTTTGTAACTCCAACTCTAAGGCCAGAAGCTCAGCAAAAGGAAACAATCATGCTACGATGTAACTAGTGAAGCAATTACCTGGACAGAGAAGACTTTAAATACAGTATAGGGCTCTGATCAGTGAGACACCAAACCCGCAACAAGAAAAGCCACCTCTGGCCCTTGAGTGAGATGAAGTCCTGAAGCTAAAGCTTTAATTTAGAGCAAATAACTCGGCTGGGTTTGTTTCAGTCTCACCTGCATTTTTCACATTAATAAGCATATGACAGGCATGCCAACTGCCATGATGAGGGGTGTGGGACAGCACCAAACGGTGCGCTGTCACCCCTGTGCCTTCCAGACATTCTTCAGTATTCACAAGCTCAAACTAGTAACCTTGGCTTTAAGCAGATCCCTACTGAATAGGCCCTCTCCACCAGAGCCCACTGACATGAATTAGAAATCTTTCACCTGAAACTTTCAGGTGACTTCAAAATAACCCCCAAAATATAAAACACCTAGGCTAGGTTCTCAAGCACTAATCATCCATGCCGTATACCCCTCAACTCCACATCCGCACTCTGGGTCCCCACTCTGCCCTGCGACACACCCACCTCACCAGTTCGTACCTATGGGCCTAAGTTCACCTGCACCAGTTACAGTCCCTGTACTCCTCAAAAAGCACAAACCCTGTTTTCGTTTTATAATACAGACCGCCTAAGAGGTCAGCAGCTTATTCCATGCTTATTTAAGGGGATCTCAGGCAAGAATACTGCGAATAAGAGGCAAGTCAGCTTTTGAGAATGAAAGTGTTGCACACTCAGAGAAACACGCAGGAAACGTCTAGAAGTCGTGAAGAACTAAACGGCCCCTTGGTGGGCCTACACCTTTTCCTCCTGCTGCCCTGTCCATGCTGTTTGGACCCTGACCTGCTCCTCCTTCAAAACACCCCCTGCTGAAAGGTGGAAGAGAGGCCGCTTGCCTATGGAGGTCCAACCACGGATGCACAAAAATGTAATTTCAAAGTAAAAAAACAAAAAGACCTTTACTTCTTTACTTTCAATGAAACTGTTTTTAACTTTTCAAGTAAACTTTCTCTGAAGGCTACTTTCTTTCCTGAGACTCCTATGACTGAAAGGCTGTCAAGACAGACACTATCAGCAGAACACGTCTTCGCTGTGCTATTTCACAGTCAGCCAGCAGGCAAGGAGCTGTGGTGTCCTTGCAGGCAGACAGGAGACTGGGCATGAGCCCGGGTCCCAAACACTGTATACCCCTCGGTACCACCGAACCCAGCAGCACTTAAGTGTGGGCTCTTAACTGCATACTGACAGGATGGAAATGTGCTTCCAAGTTAAGGGACCGGAAATGCGATCAGCTATATGGATGCCGTTGACCCTAACCCAGCACTGAGAGAATTTTCAAGACTCGCAAGTCACTAACACTCAACTTCGAGTTCTCTGGGGAGTCAGGAACCACCAGGGAGGGGCAGGGCTCCAGACCAGATCAGCCCTATTTGCCCACTCTAAATCGGAAGTGCAAAGACAGCAAGTTCACAAATATTCTGGGAAGGAAAAAACTGCCATTGCTGAACCATGCAAATCCCCCAACTTTAAATCAGAATGCCCTCTTCTGTAAGAAAGCCCGTCACCTAAAGATGAAGCAACCAATGAACTTTAAACATACAATTGCTCGGGGACTGGAAGAGAGGGAGCTTACAGGAGCATGTGGAGAGGAGGCAGAAGGCAGCAGAAAGAGGAGTAAACAGAGGTCTCATCACCGTGGACACCAGGTTTTGTAATGGTGCTTTCATTCAAAGCATGGAAGACAATTCCAAAACAGTAAATGCATAAAGCCATGGGAACACAGAATGTTGTCAACAGTCAACACCCTAATACCTGTAGTTTGAAAGACAGCTCTGTAAGTTATCAGAATGTCAGCAAACACTTGAACACTTTCCCTGAGCTGTTTTTGTAAGTATGTCATTAAAAGTTGCACTCCAAAAATCTGAGAACACTTTCTCTGCAACAGGAAAGGCAGTTGCTACGTGTATGCACCAAACGCAGAGAAAGAGATGACAGGGAAAGGCAGCCGTGCTGCTGCCCATAGCGTGGCTGCGGGAGGCGGGTAGGTGCCCAGCCTGGAGCCCGACTTCTCTGGAGAACCTGCGCCCGCCCAGAAGCCGCGGTAGCGTGGCCTGCCGGGGGTAGGTGCCCAGCCTGGAGCCCAACTTCTCTGGGGAACCTGCGCCTGCCCAGAGGCCGCGGGGGGAGGGGGGTGGACACGGCGGCAACACGCCCTGTACACCTGCTGGTCTGAGTGCTGAAAAGCACCCAGTGCTTGCGCCGCCTCCAAACCCCGATCCGGGGCATCGGGCCTCCTGCCACGGCTCTGCACTAGTTGCTGCAGTTAGAAAGGGCTGCACGCAGCTGCTCGGAGCTGGGCAAACACTGGTGCTGCACAAGACACCTGGGGCCACACCGGGCTGGGCAGAGCCCCGCAGGCTGCACAGAGCAGGTGCCGGGGACCGTTCGGCGCAGCCCCCGCTTCTCGTCCAGTCCCGGCTGCGTCCGGTCTTGGGCAGAGTCCTGGTGCCACCGCAGCTTCTGACCATGAGTCAGAAGGGCTGGGGGGTCGGAGGTCACCATGGCAGGGTCAGAGGTCGTCTGGTAAGGCCGGCCGCCGCCGGCCACACCTCCGGAAAGCGAAGGCCCGGAGCGCGGTGGAGGGTGCGCGGTGCGGGTTGCGCGGTGCGAGGCGCGGGGTGCGGGGCCGAGACCGGGCCAGGCCGAGACGCGCCCCCTCCGCGCCAGCACTCACAGGTGACGATGGGCTTGTTCTCCATGGTGTAGACCACCGGCGGCAGCGGCTCCTCCGGGGCGTCCATGGGCGTCCGGCGTCACCGGCCCGGCCCTCCGCGCCCCATGGGCACCCGAGGCCGCGCCGGGCCAGCAGAGCCCGCGCCTGAGCCGCGCCGCCGGCCCTGAGGCAGCCCGGAGCCCGCCGCCTGCCGCGCCGCCCGCTGCCACCGGCCGCGTCCACTTCCGGCCCCGGCGCGGCCGCATGACCACTTCCGGGGCGCGCGGCTGAAAGGGGCGGGCCTTCGCGCCGCCTGCCCCCCCCCGCCGGAAAGAGGCGCGGCTGAAAGGGGCGGAGCCGGCGGAGGGGCCCCGGGCATGCCTGCCTGGTCCTGGCTCCCTGGGAGAACCTACGCTCATGGCGGGGCGTCTGCGTTCGGGTGCCTGCTGCTGCCCGGCCCGCCCCTGCCTTCAGGCCCTGTCCCTCCCTCAGGCCCTGTCCTCTGGCCCAGTGACCACCCCAAAGGCACCCATCTCGGAGGGCCTAGTCAGGAGTGGGCGGGAGTGCCAGGGTTGCATAGCATGCCACACACACACACACACACACACACACACACACACACACACCACACACACACACACACACACACACACACACACACACACCCCACCCACCGTAACCTTTCATCTACGTTTTTTTGGTGCGAGTTTAGTGAGGTAACTGTTACACATGAACTTTTGAAAAAAGAACGTGGAGTGGACCCAGGTGTGAACATTTCTGCGGGGCGGGGGAGAGGGGGGCCTCCTCTGCGCTGCGCTGCGGAGCAGCTGGCCCTGGGCTGCAGAGGCAGGCAGAACCGGAAGGAGCCATGCAACTTGGGGAGCCCAAGTCCTGCCCGTGGGGCAGGTACGGGATGACACGCCCCGGGGCTTCCAGGAAATGGCTGTCAGGCCAGAGCGCAGTGAAAGTCACCTGCCCCAGGCTGCAGGAAAGACTTCCCGAATGCCTTGGAACCAGAACTTTCAGCTAAGACTGGGTTAAGGACTGTGGCCCCCGGACCAGCAAACTTGATTTGTAAAGTCACAGACAAGTTTTTAGGTTTACTGCCACATTTTTTTCTCATGCTATTCACTTTTATTTCTATAAACAACTCCTTAAAAATATAAACACCAATCTTAGCCTAGAACTGCATACTTTGCCCCACAATAAGGCTTCCCCAGCCCCTCTCTGAAAGCTGCATGGCACTTGGAGAGAGCTTGGGGCTCAAGTCAGAGGGGCTTGAGAAAGACTCTGAACTCTCCTCTCCAATGGAAGCCTACGGCTGAACTGGAGGATACAGGTAAACACACAGCCCAAGACACAAACTACACAGAAAGCCACAAGAGAAAGATAATCCAGAGTGGCTGCAGCAGCACACTGCTTACTGATGCCCAGTGCGTACAGAAATTGCTAAACGTAAGGCAGGGACTCTGTACCTCTGTGCTGTCTCAGGAGGATCGGACAGAAGCCCAGTGGCCTGGGAACTGTGCTGTCTGTTGTAGTCAGGGGTTGTGCAGAGAAAAATTAGAATCAGGACGTGGAGTTTATAATATTTTTATGATGGTCACTGGGAGTTAACACAAGAAAATTCATGAAATCTATCCACAACACCAAAAACATAGAACATTTAGCCAAGGGCCTGAATCCTACAGCAGTGTCCCACATGAGTCCAGATGAAGACCCAAAACTCATGACAATGCCTCCCATGAGCCCAATTGGAGTTCAGAGCCCACAAAAAGGACTCATGCCAGTCTCTTTTACGGATCCGTCCTGGGAAGGCCCAAAGGTCAGCCGTGGAAGCCAGAAAGTCCATGCCAGCAGGGTGAAGGAGTTGTGCTGGTGGGATGAGGGTTCTACACTGGAGCCGAGAAGTCACACTCACAACAAAGTCCAGGGCTGCCCTGAAAAGCACCACAGCCATCTTAGTGACATGGAGGCCCCAAGCTCCTCCAATGATAAAGCACGGTCTGCTATGTGCCAGGAAGCCAGTGTAATGAGTTCATCCTGGAGACCAAGCAGCACACGTCTTCCCCTCCGGAGCCAGGAAGTAATGCTCGACGTGAGGACCAGAGCTTCTCCAGGAGAACCAACAACTCAAACAGCAACACATAGGAAAACCCACAATGCCTCAACGCAACAACGCATTAACACTTCAACATATCTCTTTCTCCTTCTCCATGTCTCCATTTATGCTGGCAACTTTCTTCAGGTGAAACATCTACGCTCAGTAGCATGGAGATTCAATTCCACTGGCGTTAAGTTGACCACCAGTTTTTAATCCATAACACTAACATTCTTACGTGGGAGCATAAGGGGAAAAGCTGTAGGGACAGGCTGGTCCAGAGGACAAGAATGTAATGCCTTTATGGCATCCATGAGCATGGGGCCTGGTCTTGTGATGCCATCACAGAGAGAGGTAGAATTTCAGGGCTCCTGCAGTCTTTATTCTCACACTTCTTATGTGATACATGTCTCATTTCCAGCTTCAGTCTCCACCTCAGGTTCTGACTTTTACTATGTGAAAGGTAATAGCAGTTAACTTAGTAGGTACTAAATTCTACACATGCATTTGTCCCTTGCCACTTAGAACTTGTCCCTTGTCTGAGAAAGTTCCTACTTGGGTTTGGAGCAGGACAGATCATGCTCCTATTACATGGACTTAGTTTTAATGATCTTGGGGGTGTTTTGGCTTTGGTTTTTGGCTCTGGCTTCTTGGTGCCTCTGCTGGCCTCAGACTTCAAAGGCTGGGATGATCCTGATGTTTCCACTGCTTTTAAAATCCCAGTTCCTTGAATGTTTGTTAACCCCTTAAGACTGAGGGATGGCTTAGCTGAGAAATAGGGAAATATCAACCAAGAAACTTAGCTAAATGTGCATAGGGTATCTCAAAAACATCCAGGTACATCACAAGGCACAGTCAATAGAACTGTGTCTATCCATGGTGCCCTAGGAGTGTTTACAAAGACTCTAAGACAGTGATAATAAATATGTTCCAAAGATGAAATAAAGACACAGTCTTAATGTGTAAAGAGATCAGGACTCACACCAGAGGGACAGAAAGTGTCCAAAAGAATCTAAAGAAAATTCTAGAGCTGGAAAATACAGTAACTGAAATGAAAATTTCCCAGGGACTGTAGATAACAGAAGCCAGTGAGTAATCTTAAAGGCAGGTGAATAAAAATCATTCAAACCTGCTGTGGTGGCATGCATCTCTAATCCCAGAATTTAGGAGGTTAAGGCAGGAAATTGTTGTGAGTTTGAGATCAGACTGGGCTACAAGTGAGCTCAAGGCCAGCCAGAACTGCATCATGAGACTCTTTCTCAAAAAGACAAAAAAAAAAAAAAATCAATCTGAAGAAGAGAAAAAAGATCAGAGAAAAGTGAACAGAGCCTTGGGGCCTGGGCAACAAAAGCAAATGGCCTAAGTCGCATGCAGCAGGAATTAAAGAACAAGAGTGGGCCAGGAAAAAATATAAAGAATATGCAAAAGTAAAATCTTGATGAAAAACATTTATTTACAGGCCGAGAAACTTAGAAAAATATGCATAGGATACTTCAAAAACAATCCAGGAACATCAAAAACTAATGCAAATCAAAGAGATGATCTTTTTTTTAAATCAGGGATCAAACTCACAACTGCGTTCTTGCAAAGCAGGCGCTTATGCCGCTGAGCTAAATCCCCAGCCCCAAAGAGATGATTTTAAAAAGCAGCCAGTGATAAGACATTACTCTCAAGAGAGCAACAGTGGATATTCGACCAACTTCTCATCAGATGGGGTGGGACCAGCGAGCAAGTGTGGGAATCCTGAAGGGTTAAAGTTTAAAACCGCCAACCCAAAACTCTTTATCCAGGAAAATAACATTTTAAAATGAAAGCAAAATAAAAGAGATATACAGGGAATGAGAGGGAGAGGGAGGGAATGAGAGAGAGAGTTGAGAAAGCATGTGGCCGTGAGGTGGGCAGCACAGGACCCTCCAGGTGAAGAGAGGTAATGTCAGTTGGGGGCTCCGATGGGGAGGGAGGAGAGAGCCACCCTGGCAATGGCCAACGGGGCAAACATGAAATCTCACCCTTTGCTGTTCTTGTAACTTAAAAACCACTTTTAAAAACGACAGCACGTTGTGGTCTCAGAGTGTATGTAGGGTAAGAGTCACAGCGTGAGGACAGGAGATAAAGGGCATCGTAAGCAGCAGCTCGGTGCCTTCGGTCACGGGGAGGGGCGTGGGATACGTGTGGGACGCGGGGAGGGGAGATGAGCTGTGTTGAACCTAGAATCAGATATGCTGAGGATGTACTTCCAGTACTAGAGCAAAATCACTAGAAGAAAATTAAGAGGCAAACCGAGGAGCCCACGGAGCAAAGACAGTGGACCCGTGGCCAGGATTTAATTAAACAAATCAACAGAAGAATAAAAAAAATGTAGCAATGGAGGTGGGAGGGGGAGCTCAATGGCACAGCAAGTGCTCGGCACGAGCAAGGCTCACAAACAAAACAATCCACAGAAGGACACACACAAATGAGCAGCCATCGCACTGCAAAATGCTCAGCATCCTTAAGACACCAGGGAAGGAGGGCTGGGGATTTAGCTCAGTGGCATAAGCGCCTGCCTTACAAGCAGGCAGGCGTGAGTTCGATCCCTGGTACCGATAAAAAGGAAAAAGACAAAAAAAAAAAGACACCAGGGAAGGCACCTCTAGTGACAGTGGGTGGTGAGAGCCATGGCTCAGTGGTGCAGCAGCTCAGAGGTGCGTTTTCCCTCAGAGGATGATGACGAGGACAGCGATGACAGTAAGATGCTGCTTCACATCCACTCACAGAGCTAAAATTAGAAGTTGAGGCCAGCTGTGGTGGTGCACACCTGTAATCCCAGCACTCAGGAGGCTGAGGCAGGAGGATCACCATGAGTTCAAAACCAGCAGGAGCTACATAAACAAATTCAAGGTCAGCCTGAACTACAAAGTGAGACCTTGCCTCAAAAAAAAAAAAGAAATCCCCATATGTGATCTGCTCTGTCAGAAAGCCAAGTCTAGCTCCTTCAAGAAGCCAGACCCTCACGAGTACCGTTTGTGGAGATGTGGCCCCTGTCCTGGCCGCATGGAGAGTGGGGACAGGAAGTAAACCCTGTGCTATTTGCCCTCCCAGAGATTTATTTTCACGTGGGAATTTAAAAAGTATTTGAACTCAGCATGGACACAGGCTTAGA